CATCATATGACCCCTTTAAACTTCCCGTCTGTCTAACACACTATGTGAACCTACTGCAGTCGGTGCCCTGCACGGGTTCTGGTAGTCCTATACACTCTCCTGGATTCAGAGGAATGGCCACCCTCCATCTGGACCCGGTGCTGTCACACTCCGTGTACTCAAAGTAGTAGTCCGCCTGTGAAAACAAACAGCACTTCTAAATTTAACAAGATACTTGTGTTTTGTGAATGTGTGAAGTTTGACTGTAAAAGAGTAAAGCACATGGACCCTTGAGTATTGTATGGATTTAATGCAGAGGACAGTAAAACAGGTCGTAACATGCCTTAATAAATCCATGAGTCATCTGTCCTGAGTCTGCTGTGTCCGCACCCTTTCCTCTCTAGACATCAGCATTAGTGGGGTTTCAACTGTGTATGGTTCTTAAGTTTTTGAACAGCTCTTTCTTGTTCACAACCATGAAAGGTTAGACTCAACCAAATTGAACAAACTGGGATGTAATTTACATCTGAAACATGTCTTGTTACTGAACAAATTGAACAAACTGAGACAATGAATTGAATGAAGTGGTGACATATCTTTTTTGAAACTGAATGAACTGGGACATCATGTTTGTGAAGAAAAAAAAACAGAACAAACTGCAATTTCTTGTTCATAAACCAACAGGACAACCAACTTGGATATCATGTTATGAATCATGATAATGAACTGGAACATATTTTGTTTAAATTTTTTCTCGCAAGTCTTACTTTTTCCTCAGAAATGCGCAATAAAAAACTTGCTATTGCGACTTTTTCCTCCGAAATGCGCAATATAAACTCACAAATGTGATTTATAAAGTCCAATTCTGAGGGGTGGAAAAAAAGACTAGATATGTTCTCAGAATTGTGAGTTTATATCTCACAGTTGGCTTAATAACTCACAATTCGGAGAAAAAAAAGTCACAATTTGCGAGATATAATTTCACAGTTATGTGAAAAAAGTCCAAACTTATATCTTGCAATTCTGACTTTATAACTCGCAATTACGAGAAAAAAAGTCTGAATTGTGAGATAACGGGCCTCATACTTAGTAGACTTGCAGGCACACAAATTTCAATAAAAGCTAAAATGACTTGTTTTAGTCAACTCGGTGATTCGATGCATGACTCACTCATTATATGCAAAGAGAAACATACTTGCTCCTACCTATTGGCATAACAACTTAACCTGCATTAAAAAATAAATAAATCAGTGTACAAATTTGAGCAACTCTTTTAGTAAACAGATTCAAATCAAAATGCCCACTACTAATCAGCATATTACAGATGTACTGATTTAGCAGAGACGTGACCATTTTGTTCGTCCAAAATGCAACAGAAAACCTCTGAATCATTTCTTTAACATCACATGCCTGCAGATCCTCCAGCACTTATTGAGTGACTGGGAAGGAAAGGCAGCTATCAGGAGGAAGCTGATAATAAAACCCAGAATGCCCTGCGGGTCAACATACGGGAGGGCAGACTTAGAGACACAGCTCAAAACAGGAAATAGTCTCAGATATTACCATACAAAAGCCTAGTCCATTACCACAGATACTGTATCAATGTGCCACTTAATGACACAATGCAAGACAGCTCACTAAAAATCATGTAGTAAAATCAATGCTTTCTATGCAGCCACTATAATCACTTTAGTGCTTTGGTTATCAAATCTTGTCATATGAAGAATCAGATTTGAATGTTAAACCCTAAACTTCCCAATGCATGTAATTCCCTAAAAGCAATCGAGTATATTAAGGAATCACATGAGTCTCAGATCATATAAAAAATTCTGCTTGTTTGGATGTTTTAAATAACTTGTCGTATAACCTTATCTATTTAAGTAAATAGCATGCTACACTTTTTTTAAGATCTCATTAATTGCAACTTACTATAAAAAAGCTGTTTTTACTTTTACATGATAACCTTTTTTGTTCTAAAGGTTCAATAAACTGTTCGATTAATAAAAAGAAAAGTGTTATTTCATATGCTAGGCTTTACCGGATAATGGAAATAATTAATGCAGCTTTGAGGGAACTGTGTACAATTACCATCTGATTTTTGTGAATGCATAAGCCTAGTTCCAATTCTGCAATATTGTTCCTTATTCATAGCCAAGCACTGCAGTCAATCTTTTAGTTTATGGGACACACAGGGATTTTAACAGTCACAGTTTTTCCGTGCACAGAGGAGGTACTGAGCTCTCAGTGGAAGCGGTTTCAGCGAGGCTATTCTTAGCATCATATCACCAGGCTCTTGAGATGGGCACGCAGGGCTGACCATCTCTGTGAAAAGCTCCGCTTAGCACTCCACTGGAACCATATTCAGCCATTACCATAACATTAGACATAAAACACACACCCTGGCTGGATTACAAATGCATATTTAAAATGAGATGCCCATCCCAAACAGCAATCTGACACCAATCAATATACCGAGACAAAAACCATATCAGTTCCTTGATCAATATGCATTTGAAAAGCTCAAGATACCTTAGTATGCCATAATCAAATACACAAAAGACTTAAGAATAAACTGATATTCAGCTTAAAAAGGATTCTGAATACCTGTAATATATATATATATAAATCTTGAGATATTTGTATCCTGTATGCAGTTTATTTAAAAAAATTAAGAATTTGATGAAGAATACAAATAAACTGCAACACTGTAAGAACTAAAAGTGCCTAAAACATGATTTCAAAGAACCCAAATACATATTCAGAGCATCAAAGCCATTTCCCGCGGTGAAGGAAGCACTGACAGAATTGACAGCTCTTGTAAGAACTTAGGAGTCACATTAAGCACTTCTAAGCTTCCAGAGACGTGCTCCTCAAGAAGCCTCATGCAGAACTATCTTTTGTAAAAGCATGTTTAGATGTTCACCAACGGTATTTGACAGTGTGACCGTCTGATTCCTACATGTTAAAGCAAAGAAAGCCATAAATAACAATTGATATTGAGCGTCTAAACCAGCTTTTTACCTTATTCAGTCAGCCTACACTCTTAAAAATAAAGGTGCTTCAAAAGGTTCTTCAAGCGATGCCATAGAAGAACCATTTTTGGTTCCACAAAGAACCATTCAGTCAAAGGCTCTTTAAAGAACCATCTCTTTCTTACCTTTTCGTAATCTGAAGAACCTTCTTTCACCACAAAGAACCTTTTGTGAAACAGAAAGGTTCTTCAGATGTTAAAGGTTCTTTCTGGAACCATTTAGACAAAAAGGTTCTTCTATGGCATCGTGAAGCACCTTTATTTTTAAGAGTGTACTTCTCATTGGTTAGGGCTTTTCGATCTGTGTAGAGTATCTGAGGCACCTGTTACTTTGGTTATTGTAAAGTCTGACGACCTACATTATCTTGCTGCACGTGTCAGTAAAGAGACTGATCCCAAAAGTACAAATAAATGTATAATAAACCACAGATGCTTGAAAAAGAGATTTATGAACTGGACGAGTGTATCAAACGTAAAACACGCTGACTATGAACGCAGAAATTGAGACTCATCAGCATCTTCTTGTTTTCCTTTAGACTCTTAAACAGGTAGCTAGCTAGTGGACTTATCTATCTCAGAGAACAGTCGGACCAAATTGCTTCATCTCATTTGAACATTTGCAATGTTACTGCTGTTATTACTACCATTGTATATTTATTAATATTACTCATGTAGCCTCATCTCAATTTGCACATGTGTTACTGCTGCTATTGTTATCATGTAGTTGCACTCAATTTGCACGTTACTGCACTATTGTTTTTTGCACATAAGTTAATACTGTACATTCCCATATGTAGATACCATATAGTCTATATTTCTATTTTCACATTCTATATTTCTACTCTATACTCGCATATATAGATACACATAGTCTATATTTCAATTTTTTTCAGTCTATATTCCTACTACTGCAGCATAAGTTTTATTATTATGTTTCTTACATTTGTATGTATGTATGTGTATGTGTATAGTTTGTGTATGTGTGTGTACAGCACTGCACTGTCTTGGCATTCATTGTGGACAGCAAAGTAAGAATTTCATTGCTCAGGGAAACTTGTTTTCCTCAGTGGGCATATGACAATAAACGCTCTGAGTCCTTGAATCCTTGAAACATCAGCGGGAATGATCTCTCACCTCATTACACGGGCGCAGGTGAGCGGCAGACGCCGCGGACGCGTTCAGGATGAAAACAAAACATATCCACACCGTATGGTCCGGTGCAAAACGGCCTCGGTGGCGGACAGCGGTCTTCCTCGTGCGCTCCATCGCTTGCCGAATGGAATAACTGGACACAGCCAGCGACGTCAGCATAGAACGTCATCTGTCGGAGCTGCTTTGAAGTCGTAGAAGTGACGTCACAACGGTGTTACCCAACTGAGTCCCAAAACGATTAGCTTAAAAGAGTACATATCTACTTGAAGTGTTTTAATGTTTTAAAGTTTGAGGGTGACAATCAAATTATTTGTATAATTACACACCGTAGAGTCATACATATAATAATAATAATATCTATAATATATTCGAATAAGGACAATGAACATTCAGAACACTGCTTTTACATTTACTAATAAAATAATCCAAAGCATTTGTGATTGTTATTCATATGCACACCACAAGATGGAAGTCGTTTCAAAGAAACCACAACGTGGAACGCTATGCTGTATTTAAAACTAAACTTTTTAAGTAATTGTTAACTTAAAATTTTAAATCTGAAAAAAAGACCATGTTATCTGTCAACTTTCCAGTGCATTGTATGTCCAAAACAAAATTATCTGATTTTGTTTTCTTCATGAAGAGAGAATCCAGACTCACTGCAATAGTCATAATGGTCTCCAGCACATAAAATATTTCACTTCCATAGCACATGTATACTATTTTATTTATTGCCAGTGTTCAGAACTTTGGCACCAGTATTGTTCACAGAACAAAAATCACAATATTTCACAACTGCTTTATTTAGCATGACTGACTCTTGACAGCAACAGAAAATAATGTACAAAATATTCAGCTTTGTCAACAACAACAAAAAACAATTACAAAAAGTACACCGTCCAAATATTTAAATAAAAACTGAATAGATTTGAACAAGCATTGAATCACCTATGCACACATAATCAAAACTGTGAGGCTCACTTCTGACATAAAACAAAATTATCTGATTTTGTTTTCTTCATGAAGAGAGAATCCAGACTCACTGCAATAGTCATAATGGTCTCCAGCACATAAAATATTTCACTTCCATAGCACATGTATATTATTTTATTTATTGCCAGTGTTCAGAACTTTGGCACCAGTATTGTTCACAGAACAAAAATCACAATATTTCACAACTGCTTTATTTAGCATGACTGACTCTTGACAGCAACAGAAAATAATGTACAAAATATTCAGCTTTGTCAACAACAACAAAAAACAATTACAAAAAGTACACGTCCAAATATTTAAATAAAAACTGAATAGATTTGAACAAGCATTGTATCACCTATGCACACATAATCAAAACTGTGAGGCTCACTTCTGACAAATAAATCACTTTTTATTGTGCTTGACAGAATTACGAAGGTCAAGTGGTGTGTCTGAATCATGTCATCTTCCAACATCATGGAAGTACAGATTGGCACACAGACAGAGGAGGATAATGAGACCTATGGAATAATAAATCAGACCACGAAACTTTGGATCCAGATCACCTTGACGATACCAGAATATCTACAAAAAACAGAGAAACATTTTTAACAAATTATATACATATGTTGTATTGTATATATAAACACTAGGGGAAAAAACACACAAAAGAATCAATCATCTTGTTACAAGCACTGTGACCATGAAGCACAGTAGAAAACTACATTGTAAAACTCCCATGATTTGACAAAAACGATAAAGATTTTGATTTAGATTAATGATTATAATGGAGTTGGAAAAAATTAAACCCCATCGATCATATATAGAAATTTTGTAGATACAGAACTAACCAGCACCAATACAGAAGAACAGATCATGATGATGCAGAGCACAAAGAAAATGTTTAATGCTGTTGGAGGAGGTGTAGGGAAGACAAACGAACTGATGACAGTTACCTGAAAAAGTAAGGAGAGGGGTTAAAAAAAATCAATCCAATTTTCAGGTACAACTAGCCAGTTGCAGTTGGATGGATCAGTACATTTTTTAAACTGTAAAAATACACAGAGTGTGGGTTTGTTCATAGCAGGGTTCCTCAAATCTTGCCCTGGAGGGCCAATGCGCAGCATAGTTTAGCTCCAACCCTGATCAAACTCACCTACCTGTGATTTGCTAATGATCCTGAAGACATTGATCAGCATGCTCAGGTGTGTTTGATTAGGGAAAGTGGATCTCGTGGGCCAGATTTGAGGATCCCTGGTTTATAGTATTGGTAAGTAGCTGTATATAAAAACAATAGAAGTCTATGCAGTGTCCTCATTTAGATGGCTAACTAAACGTGTGTGTGTGTGTGTGTACTGGTTTATATATCCTGGTGGGGACTTAAACCTGAATACACACAGACTCATGGGGACTCGTGTCATGGTGGGGACCTAAATTGTGGTCCCCACGGGTACAAAAGCTTATAAATCACACAGAATTAAGTTTTTTGAAAATCTAAAAATGCAGAAAGTTTCCTGTGAGGGGTAGGGTTGGTGTAGGGCAATAGAATATACGGTCTGTACAGTAGAAAAACCATTACGCCTATGGAGAGTCCCTCACTAATACTCACTAGGACAAACAGAGATGTGAGTCCACCAATAGCCAGATTAACGGCCGTGTGCTGAAAGAAAACAGAAGTTGACATGAACAAATACAGGGGGTAAATTTAGTCAGTTTAACTAGATTGATTTGATGAAAATCTTTCCATATATCCAAGTTCATGCACATGCTGTGCACACTAAATCCCTTTAATTCTGCTTCATGATCTCCCTCTAAGAGTCCTGTAATGCCTGCTCAAGAGTTTTGCCTTGATCAATAAGCAATTAAACAATCTTAAAATTAGTGTTTCTGCATTAATGCTGATAAACACTTAAAAACTAACCGTAAAAAGCAGTAACTGTTTCTCTCACCCGCGTTAAAGTCTCTCCAAACAGCGTGTTGTCTGCGCCACTGGTGCGCGTCCTGAAATCATCATCCATGTTGCTGCCTGGTGGGACTGAGAGGGTTTGTGGTCATGAGAAGCGGATCATCTCTGAACCCTGCCTCAGCCTCCTGCACTCATGATCAGGCCTGAAAGCACTTTCGCATTCCTTCAGATGCGTAGCACTCACTCATGCCTCAGGCCGAAGCAGAAATCAAAGCGCAAAGCGAGCTGTTTTACATACATCTTAATGGAACACAGGGAGACATTGTTAGGAGGAATGATCATGAGATTATGCTTGTTAGTTATGGGAAATGTACTACTTTCCCTTTCTAATCTAGCATTCGAAGAATTCAATTCACAGCCAATATAATGAAGTGGGCGGGGCTTAGTGGCCCAGGTATAATTGGCCTAAATTATAATTTTTATATTTTAGTTTAAAAAGTTTTTCCCCTCACTCTCTCTCTCTCTTCGTTTAAATGTCTATACATATTCCCAGTGTTATTATTCAGTTTAAAATTACTTTTAATACCTTTGCTAAAATAACTTGTAAGAACGGTTTTCATGTGGGACCTGTTACTTTTCTCAGCGCTGGTAAAGAGAGACTAATCACATTCATTTGTGATTACTAGATGATAATCTTTAAAACCATTTAATGAAAATGAATTACGTTTCACTTTTTAATTAGCAATAATCATTGTGCAACATAAGAGTTTTAAAATTATTTGGAAAATACTACTGCATTTACACCAGTGTAGATTTTAGTGCTCATACAGTGTCCGAGTCGACAAGCGCCCTCTAGAGGAAAACAACTAATGAATGAACAAGTCATTCATTTTAAAGGGGTCATATGATGCTTTTTTAAAGATCATTATTTTGTGTATTTGGTGCACTGCTAAATTATGTTCTTGCCAACCCTTTTGCTAGACTTCTCGTCTAAACAGACAAAACACATCAACAATCTGAATCATTTACTTGACTTTTGCAAGATGAAGCAACAAAAAAGTAAAAACCTTCATTATTGTATTGATGCACTAAAGCAGGACACTGAAAATTTGCCATAAACGTTGTTTTAAAATATGCAAGTTGGTATAAGCTAAAGATTTCTATTACACTATACAGAATAAAAATATAAAATCATGTAATCATGTCCCACTTTACTTGTATTTACCATATTGTCTGCATAGGTACCTGAACAAACCACCCATGCGTCGTTGCTAGAAAAACAACATTGCATAGGTTTACCAGGATTGTGTCAAACAGTGTATTATGTTTTTAATTTATTAATTTACTTCAGATTTCGTCATTGACCAATTTAAAGTAAGTCATTTCTGTAGATTTAAAAATAACTTTCCTTTTGAGGTAACAGATAAATGATCAAAGGACAGTATATTCAAAAGAACATACTATAGATGTTAAATGTTAAGTCAAGTTGTCATATAAACTATAATTCACTATAAACAAAAGGTCGGGAAAAAAACTTTTAAGTGTTATTCAAGTGCTTACGGTTTAGCAAAAAAATATCTACAACAAAATAATGATACACAGTTTTGTATGTCAAGTCATTTTGAGGTCCGAACAGATGTTGGACAAAGTACAAGAGCTTCACATTGTAGTGCAATAAACCTAACTGAAGTATTGCACGTTCCTACCATAACAGTGCTACGGTCTTCAAAAGGAGCTCAGATTCTTCTTTTGGACTGGGTATGACTTTTTGGCTGAAAAGGGTTTCATGTAGTTACATAAATATTTCAACAGACTGAAGAAGTTTGAGAAACAGTCAGATTTTGCAAGACCAAAGTTACCACTTGAACAAAGAGCATGAGAATGTCAATGTAATAATAAAATCAGGCACTTCAGGCAACTTGGATGTTTTAATGAGACGGATGACGGCCTTCAAAATTCACATTTTGGCCTTCAGAGGCACCATGTTGAGAGACTGCACAAAGTACTCCAGCGTGGACAAATAATCCTGAGGGTGTGTGCGCAGATGACCTGCATGAACAGACTCCTTCCACTTCTTGCTCTCCACAGTTTGGCCGCGGCTCCTCCAGAACTCCACCATCTTCTCCAAGTTCTTGTAATCACACAGTGCATCGTTCTCAGAGTAGAAGAAAAGAGCAGGCGCCATCACAGAAGTGTTCCAGAAAACACTGATCGATGAATTGAAGTAGTCAACCGTCTGGTGTTTAAAGACACGGAAGTACAGAAGGCTAGCCGACTTCACGAGACCTTCCATCCGGGGCAATATAGTTTTACCCAGGCCTGGACAACAAACAACAAAACCAAAATAATTAAGCAAGAGATTTCAGTGACTTGAAATTTCATCAGGACAAATTTCTATCTCTGAAATCTGATGGTTTTTTAGGCCTTATGTAGTTTTATTACTTAAGCTGTTCGAAGATAAATATGTTCTAAACCTACAATAAGATTTCTATTTAAAATAAATGCTGTTTTTTTACTTAGTGTTGATCAAAGAATTCAAAAAAAAAATGTATCACAGTTTTCACAAAAATATTAAAGGTGGGGTAAGCGATTTCTGGTAGTCAACGTTGACATTTGAAATCACCAAAACAAACACGCCCCTACCCCAAAAGGGTCTCGTCCCTATTTTGATAGCTCCGCCCCACACATACGTATGCAACCCAGGCAACGATTAGTTCTGTCAAACAAAGCGAATCCCTGTGTTACACTGTGTCTACACCGGACGCGAGCGGCGCAACAAAATAATAAAGAACTCATTATAATCAGTGATGCTGTCTACACCATAGATATATATACATATCTATAACGAATCTCAGAATCGATCTACGAATCGTGATGCATCGATTTATTGTCCCAGCCCTATATTGTAGTAGATAAAGTGTATTTGTTTGTTAGTAAGATTTCTTTTTTTTTAATAAATTAATAATTGTATTGTTTTTACCAAGGATGCGTTTAATTGACCAAAAGGGACTTTTAGAATGTTACAGATGATGGCTATTTCAATTTTCTTTAACTTTCTGTTCAAAAAAGAATCCTGGGGAAAAAAGTATCATGGTTTTTACAAAAATTTTAATCAGCACAACTGTAACACTGACAATAAGAAAAAAAAAATTCTTTAGCAGCAAAACAGCTAATAATAATGGCTGCTGTAAATACAGCTATGCATCACAGGAATAATATGAAAAATGTGTTATATTTGTATATTTTACATGTATTTGTGTCACTATTAGGTTATTTACACATGAGAGAAACATGGCATGGTATATAATAATGGTATATGATATAAATATAGTCATACCGTGATGTATATAAATAAACACACTTTACAATGCAATCTCTGAACATACCGTTGGCCATATGCTCCAGCGATCCCATGACAAGGCTGTCATAGATGTGCCCCCTGATTCTGTTTGTCAGGCCTTGGTAACGCTGGGTGTCTTTGGCCACATGAACAAGCACCTGAGCAAAGGTATATCCCCCTATGGAGAAAGCATGGACCAGTAGAGGGCGCTGTGAGAAGCGCTCGCTCTCTAATAATTCCAGCACACGACCACCATACTCCAACCCCCAGCGGGGCCACAAGAACTGGCTCACCTCACTTTCCACTACGAGCACATCAAAGCCCATGCGAAAGTAAATCCCACAGTATTTGGCAATGGCCTGCGGCCTGGAGCCCAGCGATGGCAGCAACAGCACTATCGGTTTAGGGTGAGCAGGTGAAACCGTGGGAGTCCCAGCGACGTCACTGGCGAAGAAGGTGATGTGTTTACTGATCTTGTGAGCAGTGACCCCTGCCATGGTGGCCGCTCTGGAAAGCATGATAGCAGGTGAGCTAAAGAAAAGACAGAGTGGAAAGAACAACAGTTAATTTTTATAAACGGCACAGCTGACTTCAACTTACTCACGTGTTGGTCGGCGCCAAATAAATCTTCTCAATGCCATATGAACTCTAGAAATCTGCCTTTTAAAGAAATATCTAATCTTCTGGATGAACAACATGCTGTATTGCCTTAATTCTTGCAGTTGTTTTAGTTAATAAGGTCTGAATCGATTAAAAGAGTGTGCTTCTCAGCCCTGCTCTTCAGACACTGCCCATTTCAGATGTGTTCATACCGTATCTGATAGACCATGGTGAAGAAACCTTCTCCCCTGGGAGAGAGCAATCTACATTTTATGAAATGCTAAATAGTTTTGTGTTGCACCATTAAACTTGATGAAATTAAATGTAAAACTGCATGTAAAATAGCCTAATACTTAACCAAAGCCTCTGACCAGGAGTGGTAGCAGTCTGACTGAATTAAATCAGTGAGATAGGTTTGCTGACAGACTAAAGCCTTTAGACATACAGTATTTGATAATGTTTACATTTTATATATACCATATATATCATATATCATTATGCAATCATATATATAAAATTACAGAGGACTTAAAACCTATTAGCGTTTCTAACAACCAAACTAGAAGTGCTGAATAAGCTGAATAACAAAATAAGTAGCTACTAACCCCTTACAGTAACCTTTATGCTCTGATTTAAGCAAGACCATTTGAAGGTCACTTTAGCAAGAAGTCCAGAGGCTGTCCTGCCTGAGTGGATACTTTAGTACTCTAAACAAGTAATTTTTTACATGTTTGCCACAGTTTTATAAAATCTGACAGCAACTAGCGAGAGTCATAAACTCACAAAGTGGCCTTACAAGGTGCACATGATCTAAGTTGATGTTATTTTTTTTCCCAAGAGTTCACAATTTCCTGTGGAAGAAATTGTATTAATGTTATATTTGCATTTTCTGTATTGCTTAGAGTCACATGCTTCTTTGCTGATTTAACAGAACAAAGAACAGCTATTGATCTTTAAAGGGGTCATCGGATGCCCATTTTCCACAAGTTGATATGATACTTTAGGGTCTTAATGAAAAGTCTATAACATACTTTGGTTAAAATTTCTCAATGGTAGTGTAAACTTCAAAAACGAAAGTAACGTTAATCCTCTGCGTCTTCAGCGGCTCAGATGTCGGGAGTAAATGACGACTGCTATGTTCATTATTACATCCAGCAACAAAACACCTAAATCGCTTAATCTGAGACATTCTTGTATTCCCCCGCACCGGAGTCGACACAATGGCGGACTGATGACAGCTCACTCAGGGCGGGTCTAAGGTAAGACGGCTTTGACAATCAACTATCGTGGGAGGGGCCTGTGCAGAACTACATCATCATTCTGACAGGAATCTCAGAACAGCCTGATTTGAGAAAGGGGATTTAAAAAAATGTTTTATCATTATAGGGTGGATGTGTACACACACTGCTAACACACATTTATGTTCAGACAACAAC